GCCGGCGCGCCGGCGGGGCCGGTCGGTCGGGCTGGGCGCTCACCGCGGGAATCAACTTGGCGCACGCCCCTTTGCACCCGGTTTGCTGGTGGGCGCCGTTTGGTGGAAAGCCAACGGGGCCCTGCAGCTGGTGTTTTGTGTGTTATGCAAATGTACACAGGAGCATCTTTAGGGATGGCAGGAGGAAGAACTGAACAGAGAGTTGCCTTCGCCGCCGCCGCCCGCCCGCCCCTCCCCTGCGCCGGCGCCTGTCGCGGGCGCCGCGGGGCGGGCGGATTCGCGCGGCCGCGGGCACGCGGTCGGGGGAGCTTGTTTCGCGGGGGCGCGCCGCCGGCGACGAAGGGCGCGCGCCGGCGCTCTGCTGTTGGGTGGCTGGCAGCGGCGCGCCGCCGCGTGGCAGGGGCCGCCTGATTCAATCCGACGCCGCCAGCAGGCGTGCGGCTCGGGTAGCCTGGCATTCGTTTGTGCAGAGTGACTCCTGCTGCTGCTGCTGCTCCTGCTGCTGCCGCGACGCTCACACTATTGCCCTGCGGGCCCGAGGAGTGGTGCGAGTGCAGCACAAGGAAGGCTTGTTGGGCGCACGTCCCAATTCATGGGATGGGAACGCCCCTACGTGCCATCATCACGGGCGCTCATATTGACCGTCTCAGCGGCTGCGACGCCCCCGGCCATGCCCCCTGCCGAGCCCTTCTCTGCCGCCCCCACCTATTGAGGTAGCCGCGCCTCCCCAGGCGGCCCAGGCGGCGGCGGCTGGGGCTGCTGCTGCTGCTGGCCCCGCGCCTGCTGCTGCTGCTGTTGCTGCCGCTGCTGCTGCTGCTGCTGCTGCGGCTCGGCCAGTTGGTCCCGCAGCTGCTGCGTCCCCCGCAGGTCAGAGGGCGACGCCTGCCCCGTCCCAGCTGGGGCCTCCCCCTTTGCTGGTTGCCGCGGCGGCTGCTCTGATGACGGCTGCGCTGCGACTTGGGCCCCGCGCTCCCGGCCACCACTGCCGCCGCGGCTGCGCCTCCCATTACCGCCGCCGCCGCCACCGGCCCCGCCCCCGCCGCTAGTGCTGGCGCCGCCGCTTACGCCGCTGACGCCTCCGCCAACACTGCTGCCGCTGGCGCCGCCCGCGCTGCTGCCTGCCTCGCCCAAGCCGCTGCTGCTCGCCCCACCCCCGCCCCGCTGCAGTTGTGGCTGCTGACCGCCCGCCTGTTGCTGCTGCTGCTGCAGCTGCTGCTGCTGCGGCGGCGCACCCCGCCGAGGCCTCGCCCCCGCCGCCAGCCCTGCCTGCGCACCCATCGCCGCAGGCGCCTGCTGCTGCTGCGGCTGCTGCTGCGGCGGC